TCCTTAGTTTGTTATTGGCTTCTCTCTTGTAAAAAGGTTTTATTGAGGTGTGTTGTTCCTCGCTTTGCTCTGTGGTATGGCGGATGGGACTGTTTCTGTCCTCTGGTTTGGTTGTCAAACTTTTCAAGTGTTGGTGGTCTATCCTCATGAAAGCCCATCTTTCCTATCTCTGTTGAACTTTCAGTATTTTAGGGAATTAAGTTTTGAATTTTCACTTATTTCATTGATTATGTACTTTGTGGATAGGCTTTAGTTTCCCTTCTTAGAGCATCCACATTGATGAACCCCCCTTTGGGGTTCACACAAATAAAATATTTTTTTTTTGTTTATTTTTTAAAAAAAAAAATTTAATAGTGGACCAATCACTAGCTGACACGTGGTGAACTCGGGGTCATTGGAGTTCACCGCAGTGAACTTTTGAGAGAAGGATTCATAGAAATCTGATTTTAATAATTTTTTTTTTTTTGGTTTGCGTGTGAACTCCCTCCATCATTCCTTGATAGGGGTGCTCTTATGAGAATTAGTTTTTCTTTTTACAAGATTTAGTTGCTGAGGATATTTTCTTTTAGCTTCAGACTATGTATCAGACTTTATTCCACCTTGTTGTTCTAACATAATCAAATTCGGAAAATAAAATCATCCTCATAATCCAAGTCCATCCTCATATTTTGTTGACAGATCCATCCTCGTAGTCTAAACTGCTTATTCATTGTCCAGCCACTTGCGAAAAACAACAATTTTCTTTGTTTCTAAGTTAATGATTTATTTAAAAATAAAGCATTTAGAAAAGCAGTCAATAGAGAAAATGTTGTCTGTGTTGCAATAAAAAAATGTTGTCAGCATTATGGGAAGTAACGCTCATATGCTCGTGTTTGGGCAACTCTTCTTGTTTCATCATATTCAAAATTTTATATTCTTTTCAAGAAAATAAACTGCCCAATTTGTTTCGTAATTATGTTGTTTTTAATGTATTATATATACTATTTACCTGCTCTTACAAAAAAAGATTTACCTGCTTCTCACTTGACATGGAACCTAAATAAATTTCCAACACCCCATTTGACATGAAACTGCGTAATTCTTAATCAATCACACAGTACTCGGGTTAAAATATATCACAAGTATCACTGTAGATTTTTTTTTTATATTTCGGGGTTTAATGTTAGGAAGTTAACAATGTTTTGTGGTAAAAAAGAAGTTAAGTTAATAGTGTTAGCATGCAAATTAATAAAATTGCACATATGCACTTATATATGACGTGGCTACTGTACTATAATGCTCAATGACGTGGCTAATGTAGACAGATCTATGGCTGAAAGATAGTCACAAGCGAAGTCAAGCAACTGTCGAGAGAAAACATGACATGCATATAGGGTAACTGAAACTAACTAACCCTACATTGCATTGAGTTTCTAATTTTCTATATTCTATATATACAAGGAAACTTTAACCGCCCACAGAGTTAATGCCTCAAAGTATAAAACCAAGACACAACCTTTAACTGATCATTTTCTGTATTTTTAAATGATCAATTGTTTAATTTAAGATTATAATTTTTATTTAACATCAACTAAATTCTGGGGGAAAGTGGGATGAAAATAAGCAGATTAAATCAAGATTTATTTATTTTTCTTTGATATTGATAATAATACATTATTTAGTTGATGATTGGTCGACTGTAACTGTAAAAATTTGGCTATGAAAGTTTAGCTGTATGTAAATTGATTGTAGCTATAAAATTATTACTGTAGAATTTTTTTACAGAAACTTTTCATGTACTTAAATTTGTTATAGTTGTAAGTTATATGCTGTAGTCTTTTCAAAATAAATATTTAAAATCTGTGATGTATATATAAAACAATTATTTTTATCAATTAGAACAATTTATATTAGTATTTTAAATAATTTACTTCAAAATTTATTTAAAATGTGATATATAAATAATATTTATTTATTTTTAATATTTCAATAATTTAAAAACCCCAATAATAAATTAGAATATTTATAGATATTTTTATTATGATTATATATTTATTTGATATTATAAATAGTTTTTCCATTTAACAGATTCTACAACCTAAAAAGGATGTAAAACTTTTACCTAAAATACATTAGAAAAAAATTGTTAGTGTAACTTAAAATAAGGGTAAAGCATGATTGATAAAAATTAGTAGAAACATGATGTAGACTTTAACTTTTAAAAATAAAGATAGAATATAATTGGTAAAAAATAGTGATTTAAAAATAAATAAAACTGAAGTAATGAGATAAATCCTAACCAATCACCTTGTTAGTTTCTAGCACATCTTTTTCTCTATGTGCGTGGATATAGAATACTTGTAGGCCTTTATTATTGTTCATACTGATGGAGATTGGAGACGACTCAGACGAGTGTGTTTGGTTTCCAACTCGAACTCATCTTTTAATATCTAAGAGCATTACTTGAATGTCTTTTGTATTTTAAAGATAAGACCGTCTAGATAGGCGTAGCAAGGCATTTCTTTTGATGTAAATGACAAGTTCATATTGTTACTTAAACAGAAGAAGACAAATAATGCATCTAGATAGTTTCCATGTATCGTGTTGATAATGTCATACATATATATATATATATATATATATATATATATATATATGTAGAATATGCATATATGTGTGTGGATGTAACAATTAGGTAGGTGATGGACCCTCCTATAAACCCAACCACCTTTGTCTCTATTTCCACCTTCCCATGTCCCTTAGAACATGGAGCAAATTATGGCAACTATGGATATCTCCAACCATGAACACTATCATAATGTCAAATTCTACCCTCCCTCTAATTTTCTTTTAATTATTTATAGTTTTCCTTAGGATATCTCCAACCATGAACACTATCTTAATGTTAAAATTATATTATTTTAGTGTAATTTCAACATTAAAAATATGTTCTTCTCCAATCACGACACTAAATTTTATACAAAAACTATTTTATAATATAATATGTATTTAGTTTCTTATTTGTTATTTATTTATTTGTATGTTTTATTACTAATAAAATAAAATGAATAATATTGTATTGGGATGAATAGTATTTTAGTGTTGTGAATAGTATTACACCAAATTTGATATGAACTTTTAATGTTACAATAAAATGGTGTAATTTTGCAGTTGGGTTGGAGAGATTTTGATGTAAAATTGACATTAAAATAGGGTTTTGCAGTTGCATTGGAAATGACTTTGTATTAATACATTTCTGGAAATGACTACTTTTTACTCATTAAAAATATAAAATATACGAAGACAAATGTAAGATGATAAGACATTTATATATAGGGTAGATGGTCTATTTACCTATGAAAACTATTATATAGCATCAGATCCCCACCGAACTATGACTTTATGCTAGATATCTATGAAATTGAAAATTGCAAACCTAATTCTCTCCGAATCAATGCTTCAAAACTTAATTACGCACATACAATGGTTTTTATTGGTTTTAATTGGTTTTAATTTGTTTTAGTTGGTTTATTCTTAACCAAACATCTTAAAATCAAGTAAACCAAACTAAAATTCAATTTTTATATAATTTTTTTTTTATCATTTTCCATTTGTGATGTATCTTTATTTTTAAATGAACAAAACAAAATCTTCTTCCATTGTAAAATAAACCCATTTAAATCCGTACATGAATCACCGTAAACATTCTTATGTAAAAATTTTAATGGGTTTATTTTATAACAGAAGAAGATTCTATTTTATTTATTTAAAAACAAAAATACATCACCAATGGAAACTGATATAAAAATATGCAAAAACTAAACTTTGGTTTGGTTTAACTGATTTTAAGATGTTTGGTTAGGAATAAACCAATTAAAATCATCGTATGTGGATAATTAAGTTTTGAAGTATTGATTCAGAGAAAAATAGATTTACAATTTTCAATTCGTGGAGATCTAATAGGAGGTAATAGTTCAGTAGGGATTTGATGCTATATGATAATTCTCGTGGGTAAATAGATCGTCTATCCATATATATATTAAGCATATAGAATGAACTTGAAGTATTCTGACTCAAAATTGAGTGTGAAGTTATATGTTTGTACTAGTACATTTGTAGTTCAAGAACTTTAAAATATATAACTTGTTAACTCCAAAGGACTTGATTATTGTACAGTAAAACCCCCTCGTTCTTGCACTAACTATATACTAGTTAAAACATTTGTTTTGAAACACTAACCAAAGCATTATGCTGTTTTCTGTTTTTTATACACATTAGAATAGAATGAATATTTTATATTAGTTGAATAGAATTATGATTCGTTAGTAGGTTTATCTAATTTATTTGTTTAATTGCTAAACTGATCAAATTTCAAAGTACCATGAAGTTAAATACTAATTATTCATGACTTCAAGATAAAATACAGTTACATTTAATTTGTGTGTAAATTTGAAAGTTCAAACATATTTTCCGTGACATAACTAGATTTTAAAACCTTAACTATTAATTGGAAAACAGAAAGTAAATTGAAAAACACACAAAACAGTTTAAAAGCTGGTCGGTACTTTTAACTCTTGGAATTTATTTTCGAAAAGAACCTCTATAGATTTGATTTTTGGCCAAATAGTTTATCTTCTGTTACAATTTAAATAATGTCATATGGCTACGCTATTGGTCACTGAACCCACGATTAATTTCTCTGACAATAACTGTGATTGGTTAGATATTATGAGAAAAGTCAATGATTCATACTAATTAAGATTTGAATATATACATATCATTAATTTACATACGCATTAGCTAATAAAAATCTAATGTAACCGTAATAGTTAATTACTATATTTGCCCAATTATACTAATCGCTCTTGAGTGTAATATAATATTAATTGTTGAAAGTGTTGAGAGCCGGCCAACGAATGCAACATAGTAATATAAAGCAGTTAACTTAGGTGCTCTCAATACACACAAACGAAAACTATTTCCATCAACCCCAAGAACACATTTCTTTTCTTTTTTTTTTTCCTTAAAGAGAACACTTTTCTTGTTTGTTCTTTATATTGAAGCTATAAGTTTTTTCGTTTTGGTGAATATGGAGATCGAGTCTGTGAGATGTGAGTGTTGTGGATTGATGGAAGATTGCACACAAGACTACATTAGTGAAGTCAAATCTAACTTCGACAACAAATGGCTCTGTGGTCTCTGCTCAGAAGCTGTGAGAGACGAAGTGAGTCGCCGGAAGATGACTACTGTTGATGAAGCTGTTAGGGCCCATATGTCGTTTTGTGGGAAGTTTAAAGATAACCCGGCAGTTCTTGTGGCCGACGGTATGAGGCAGATGTTACGGAGGAGATCCGGCGACTTGACTTCCTCCGCTTCCAAGAAATTTGGCAGATCTAACTCCACCAAGTTGTACTAGTTAATGATCTTTTTTCTTGTTTTGTTAATTAATTATATGTATAATATTTGATGCCTTTTGTTTTTGTTTAATGTCATAAATGATGGTCGGTGATGCTATAACTGATCAATTGCTTATATCCCGTTTTGTCAGTTTAGTTCATCTAACAATTTGCCTAAAAAGATCAATGAGGCAACCACAATGCATAATCTTCAATTCATTGCAAATATATATTTTTCTTGACTACTAAATTGAGCTAAACATTTTCGAGAGAATGCAAAAGTTCTTATTCTGTTACAACAAGTCCTGAGCGTAGGTTCATAACCACCTCATGTCGGAAACTAAAAAAACACATCTTAAGTTAGTTTTTTTCCCATTGCCGGTAATCAAACTCTTGACTTCGAATACGCATAACCTTGAGTGCTCTAATATTTTTTTCGGAGCCTCTCTTGCTCCACACAAGCTATCACATTCCTCATCCAATAACAAAGATATCTTTAGTGCTTCTTGAAGATGCTCAAAATCATGAGCACAGAAGGCTTTCTCTTCAATTAGGTCATATCACATATGTAGCCCATTTATGTACGGGACCATATAGATAGCAACAGTAATTAGATAAAAAAAAAAGAACTTCGAAAGGAATTGAAGTGTTAATTCTGCTTTTACAATGGTCGAGATTTTCAACCTCTGGATCATTTTATTTCACGTGATAACATCTCTTTTCTGCTACAGATCTCAACGGAACTCAAAACATCGGGACTTTTAGTTGGGCTTATAATAGGCTTTGGCTTCAACTAGACCAGTGTTCGTTATACATCTATCTATCTATTATATTAAAAGAAAAGTCATGCCTTAATTCATGTGTGATTTTTTTAGTTTGGACAACTTTTAAAATTTTTATAAAATTTTACATAACACCATTATAATATCTTTTCATATCTTTAATTTTTATTTGAAATACAAATAAATAATTTTAAGAATATTCTAAAAAATCTTTTAGAATCTTTTCAAGATATAGTTTCAAAAAATATTTGATTAAAATTTAATTATCATAAAATATAATTAAATTTTTAATTCATTTTTTATTTATAAACAAAAAATTAAAATTATATAAAATACTTTTAAAAATTTCCCAAAATTTTGTTTATGTATTATGTAGGTCCAACTTAATTTACTTTATATATATATATATATATATATATATATATATATATATATATATATATATATATATATCAAATTTAGAAATAAAACAAAATATAAATGTTACATAAAATGTTTTAAAAATTGTTACAAAAACATCAATTTATAAATTTTATACTAATAATATTATAAGCCACATAAATATTATTATAAAGTTGGATAGTATACAGAATCAAATTATATTTATTTATTGATTAATTTTACCCTCTCCATTTCTTAATATATGATGTTTTGGATCATTGTTAAAAATTAAGATTTTTACATTGTTCTACAAAAGTATTTTTAAAGAAATCATTCAACCAATTATTAAAAAAAAACAGTAAAATTTTTATTGGTTGAACATTTTCCAATAAAGTTAAAGATAACCTTAAACTTCAAAATATACCTTAAAATCTCAAAACATCTTATATTTTGAAACAAATTAAATCTTTTAAAACATAATCTAATTCGAAATGGATGGAGTATTATATAACTTCAAATATTTTCGTATTAAAATACCCGCACGGTTGTGCGGGTCGAGATCTAATCTATACTATTAAAAGTAAAGGCACCTTTGAAAATCGACTGATGGAAGTTGTGTGCAACCTCATTAATGGCATTTTGGTAATTTATTTTTTGGTCTTACATCTATATATATATATATATATCAATTGTTACAAATCATATCACATATTAAACATACCCGTTTTATTCTCTCTCTTCCCATTAATTACTCTAACCATATTCCATATTATATTTCATACATTTATATTGTCTTATAAACCATATATTACACGATTTTAATCTATATATTGACTACATTATAATTTTTTGGTTGATATTTTTTAATATATGCAACATATATCAACTTTATAAACTTATATTACTCTAACCATGATATGACGCTATATTTCATATATTAATATTTTCATATAGTTGTACTACATCTTATATTTCAAAGACTATACTTTATAAACTTATATTACTCTAACCAAGATATGATGCTATATTTCATATATTAAGATTTTCAAATAGTTGTACGACACTTTATATTTCAAAGACTATACTTTATAAACTCATATTACTCTAACCATGATATGATACTATATTTCATATATTAAAATTTTCATATAGTTGTACTATACCTTATATTTCAAAGACTGTACTTTATAAACTCATATTACTTTAACCATGATATGATATTATATTTCATATATCTGTACTACACCTTATATTTCAAAGACTATATTTTATAAACTCATACTACATTTTATATTACATATATTAAGACTTTGTTATAGTTGTGTACATTTGTTAATGTATTATATTAGATATTGTCTATATCGACATTTTCATGAGTTCTCTTCCTATATCAAACATTTTTAATATGTCTCACTACTTCTATCATTTATTTCATACCTTAAAACCATTTCAAGACATTTGAGAATGGAGAATCCATTCAAATGTCCTTCATTTCATTTTTTCTTCATTTTAAGACATTTGAGTATGGAGAATCCATCCAAATGTTCTTCATCTACAAGTTTATAGATTAACCACAATCAATATCGTGGTTAGTTATTCTTTGTTTGAATTCCATAAATTTCGGTAACTTACCGTAGTTGTATTACCATTAACTGTTAAACTTTAAACTTCCTAACTAATTCAAAATATCTTCAAAAAAAATTTCCTTATTCCTCGAAAGAGATATTTTTTCAAATCGTCTAAATATTTTTCCCTACATTTGCGTAACCTAAATTTATATCTTCCATACCTAATATAAATATAGCTTCTCTAATCACTATATTCATCATTCCTTGAAAAACCTAAAACAAAAATGGCGAATAATTTGCAGTTGTCTTTCTTGAGCGATATAAAACCGATGAAGATTGCATGTCGCATCCAAGTCAAAATCCTTCATACATAGAGACATTTCATGAAAGACATAGGGGAGACCATGGAACTAATCATTTGTGATGCAAATGTAAGTTTATCAGTTTGTGTAGATTTATGATTTAGATATCTTCATTTTGTAAAAGTTTAACCTAAGTGATTATGTTTTTTTTTTATATAGGGAACTAAGATCCATGCCTCGTGTAACAAGACTTACATTCTTGAAATGGCAAAACATATTCGTGTTGGAGTATGGAGGAACATTGATCTTTTCAGTGTGTTTGCGGCTGGTGGATCATACAGATCAACTCAGTATAAGTATCGCGGGTCAAAATCTGATATGTGTTTCAGTGTCTTGGCCATGGACCCATCCAAACGCAGGTCAAATGTAATATGCGTTTTAATTCTTCATACTTTCACAATACTTAATTTTTTGATTCTCTGTTCAACCACAAACTGAGTCGGTTATGCAAAACTCATTGAAAAACCTAATAAAACGTTAAATATACATCAAATCGCACATATAAAACTATCATATAATAGAAATAGATTATTTGATACATTTTGTTACAAGCAAAACAAAACCCGTGCTTCTCAAGCGCGGATCAAAATCTAGTAATCATATTATCACAAATGCAAAAAAAATCTTTGTTTCATTTCGGGAAGAATCATCAAATTCACTTCTCTTAATTTATCGGCTTCAGCAAATGACGCATATATCAGCTTATGTACTAATATGATTTTCCGAAATTTTGACATTGTAGTTCTCTGAGTATTCCCTATCTATATCATGACTTACAGTTTTCAAGATTAATAAAGTTCTAATTTCGTCGATAAAAATCACAAATGCTACTAAAATCAAACCCAAGAAACTCAGCTAAATGGACTTCGAATATTTGAAAATCCTACTATATATTAAATGGGAAATCACTTAAATGATTTTGATAATATGTGTCTATCATATGTGAAATTTAAGAAAATTTTCATAATTTTATTGATTGATTATTTTTAATTTTCATATATTTTATTCAAATCTAAAAGAGGAAATCTTACAACCAGTTAATTTTAGTTGCCAAACAATTCATATAAAGTTACACATAATCATTTGTAGTATCTAATGGTATCAATAATGGAAATTTTATATATACTTCCTCATTTTTCATTAATAGTCTATATATAAACTGAATAAATATAAGTAAGTAATAAAATACACTAGTTTTATTTTTCTATTAATCAATGGTAAAATAGATTATTTTCCTGTATAATTGAACCAAAAACTCAATTTTACCATAATATACATATATAATACATACAATATAATCTCTTTAAGTTAACACTCTATAAACTAATATATACTAAAAATCTCTATAAAATAATATAAATTTATAGTCCCAAATTGAGTTTTCGTTCAATTAGTATATCGATAAATTAATAATCTCTATAATTGATAAAAAAATTATAGTTTTGATGTAGTCCCAGTATTATTAATTTATAGAGGTTCCACTGTATACTTTTGATAAAAAAAAAAAAAACATTGTAATAACTATCAATGCATCATAAAGAGAGTTTATGAATTATTTACGGGAGTCAAAAATCATTTTTTGATGATTAATATATCATTTGTAGAATTTTAAAGCCATTTATATAAATTCATTTATAATGGATATATAATATTTTATATAATATAAAGATTTTTAAATCATTTAAGGGTCTAAATCATAAATGATGAATACTGTATCATTAATAAGATATTAAAAACAATTTATAAAGATTTATAAAAATATAAATATTTCAAAATCATTTATAAGGAATAATTTCTCATCAATTATAGGAGTTTAGAAAATATTTATGAAGATTAACAGGTTTGTAAGTTATTTAAAATTAACCCTCGATAAGTATTTAGAATAATATGCTATGAATACAAGTATATTGCTAGATTTATGAATTTTTTTATTAAGTTAATTGAAATTTACATATACATAGCTATGTTTCTTCTTATAATTTTTTTTACTGTATACTTTAATTGCAAGCGTGAGTCTATTTGTCACATGAATTCATGTTTTAAGATTTTAATAATTTTATAGAAGAAAAACTTGATCTATAAACCAAGTGAACTATATGTA